TCTATGTTTGAATGACTTAAGAGTGAAATATAAGGAAATAAAGACCAATTTTTATTAACAGTCTTATTTATGCATTAAAATCTATTGAGTATGATAAGCAGTGTCCAACAATGCCTGGGTTTATACACAAAGAAAATAAAGAAAATTGAGTTCACTATACTTTCTATGATTTGCTTTAAAAAGATGTTGACACTGTTCACTTGTGAAGAATGTTTGATTCAATCAAAATTACTGTATAAAAGTAATGCAGAAACTTGTTCTATTTTACTTTTCTGCAATATCATATTTTATTGGATAAGTTAATGTTTTCACAATAAAATTGGTATAAAACATTCAGTGTTTATAATGTTTTTAGTATCTATTGAAATGAGCAATATATCACATGCTTTTAATATGCTACTGTTTTGGCTTTTAATATTTAGCCTTATAAAAAATATCGATAACAACTTGTTTCAGTGTTATTAGCTTTTATTATGTAAACAAACTAAGTCCAACCTAAATTTGTATTTCTAAATAAATCCAAACGACATAGGTCACAGTAATATATTTATCACCGTATCCTATATATGTGAATAAATAATTTTATATGTTAATATAGTCTTGTTGACATTCTATAACTTTCATTAATCTTTTCACCTATTGACTTTAAGTTTTCTACTGTTTCAACTTTAGCATTACTTGCAGTAGATTTTCTTTCTTTCCAATAATCTTGTTTGCTTGAATATTGTTTTCTTTCTCTGATATTTGTCCACTAATGATGGACAACAAGTTTTCTATTAGATTACTAACTAGGGACAGATTTTTGGTATTTTTAAAATATTCATTTTGGGTAAAGTGAGCATTAGTTAATATTTTCAGAATGCAAAATGACATTGTCTTGTATGAATATACTCTTTAGATTATGATCTGTCCCACTTTAAAAATTCTATGTTCAACTATTTACAATAATTCTCTGCATTTATCTTGATGCCATTATTAATTTTAAAGGAAACTATCATTTTACTGCCAATAATATTAACCAAAAACATTACTCTGCATCTTACCCTTCTGTTGGTTAATTCATAGATTCAATTACTGTTGAAAGAATAGTTTTTATGTACTTATTTGACCAATTTGTTTCTTTTTGAGATGTTTATTTAAAGGGAGTGAAAGAAAAACAGAAAAAGTATAAACTTATTGTTTAATGGCAGCTAAGGCAAGGAAAAGAGACAAAAACAGAAAAGAAGAGATTCATAAACCCAATTTTGTTTAGCCTTGTAATGAGTTGAAGAAAGTGAAAATATAATTGACCTACTTGGCCTCCAGGAGACAAAGGGTTAAGCACTTTATCTAAGCCTCTTGTCTATATCACAAATAGCAATCAACTAAATTTCTGCTCCTATAGTAGTTCAACACAAGCATGTCATTGTCAATACTAATGTTCATTTGAACCTTGAAACATTCAAGTACTTTCAGAACATTTTAAAATCATGATTATTCTGGCCTGCATGTGATTTCTCTTCAGAATTTGCTTCATTTTGTTTGCAATGGTATATTACAAATTGGTGTTGTTTAATAATCATTATCAAGAAGCCAAGAGAGTTGTGCTACCATTGGATGGCGTTAACAATAATCCAAGAACAAGTGACAACAAATCCTATTTGACACCATTATCTTACCCACATACCTTATTAGTAAAATATCTTTGTTACCACCCTGTTATGCTACATTCACTCCATTTCATAAACATATATCACATTCATTTCCTATAATTTTTCTCAAGCTCCGAAATCTTTTCTCAATTCTACTTCAGAGAGTTCTCACTCGAATGTATATTCTGCTTTTCTTTTTCCATCTCTTACCTGAGAGACCCCTTTCTGCCTTCCATCAATATGGCTGATGCTAACCTCCAGGAGAGTGACTTGTTGTGGCTTCTCTGGTTAACATTCTCGGTCAACATGAAATCGAAAGACTGCATTGTTAAATCAGCTGCTAAGAAAGTTGGTTCACTGTGTTGTTCTGGACAATTTTTTCTCCAGAATCTATCTTATATGTCTATATGTCTACCATTTCTTCTATGCTTAGAATATTGCTGCCACATTTGGTCTAGTGCTCCAGCTATTTATTTAGAGATTCTTGATAAAATCCAAAGAAAAATCAGTAATATTATTGGTCCTGACCTGGCATCTTGGCGTCAGTCACTTTTCCTACTATCATAAAGTTGCTTTCCCGTGCCTTTTCTATAAATACTTTTATGATAATTGTTCAGATGAACTCTTCACTATGGTACCTAGACTTTATGAATTTAAGTGCCATACTAGATTGGCAACAAGGTCACATCAGTTTACAGTTGAACTGACTAGATGTAACCATAAATTCTATGATAAGTTTTTTTGTTTTTTTTTCTCACATTTCTCACTTATGAAACTTTCTTCTAGCTCCATGCTTTCTAGCCAACTTTGATGTTCAAAAATTTAAAAGCAATATCAATCATTACCTACTGTCTTCCTGATTACTCTTCTTTTGTTCTCACTCCTTCATAATGTTTTCTGTTTTCTAATTCTTTCACACCCAGTAACCCTCTGTGTTTTAGTGTCTTTACTGTCTTGTTTAGGGTGAATTTTGATTTAAAAAAAAAAATCTGCATATTCACATTTCATTTATTATTACATACACCAACTTTTTTTTTCTCACACTTTTACCCTTCTTTTCTCCCCGCCATCTCTCACTCTCTCTCTCTCAAACAAAATTGTTCCTTACTCTTTTTCCCATTTCTGCAAATGACTCTCCTGTTACAGTTTATGTAGATCTGTAAATACATAATGTTGAGGAACATAATAAAAGAGAAAAATCCAAAAAATGTCCTAAAATTCTGGCATTAATGCAAATAATTCAATTTATAAAGGAATTGGTCAGTGTAATTTTTTTTTTTTTTTAAAGTATATGATCACTTAGGTTCTATTATTATTACATGACTCATGAATAAACTCCAGCAAGTTGCTGTATATAGAATGATTACAAACTCTGTGTGTGTGTGCTATTTTCAAAGTATAACAGATACATTTGTGCACAGATGCATGTACATAAGCTTCTGAAGAACTTTGATGAGAGAAAAAAAAATTCTTGTTCACATTATGAAATGCTCTTCATTCATGGAAACCTGAGAGATAGTATTTGGTCAAATAAAGCCAATTTCATGTGTTGGCTCCATGCCATTTGAGCTACCCATGTCTGATAAATTGCATATATTGAGAATATAGATCAGACATGGTATCATATTTGCTACTTTCTATTTGATTAGTGCAACCAAGAGGTGGGTGGATGATCATGAGGACTAGAGTAATTGAAACTCATTATTACAGAATCAGTGATAAAAGAAAAGATTGATTTTATAAAAAGTCAAAAGACATTACACATTATAAACACATGTCTACATTCCAATTAAGCATAATCCTTCTATACATATTTGTACTTGAGCTTTTTAAACAGATTGCAAATTATGAACAAAAATAAAATGGAAATGGTATGTACCAAAACACTGTCAGTCACATGTAACGATTGAGAGGAAATCAAAGTGAAAAACAGAAATATAAAGTAACTATTTATACTGTTTACATTGTTTAAACTTATCCTCATTTCTGTTGTTATATTCACAACATTTCGGCTATTGTACACTCTGGCCTTCTTCAGATGATTTGAATTTTGAGTTCCAGTCACTTGAAGAAGGCTGGAGTATACAGTGGCTGAAATATCACAAATATGACAAAGATGTCCAAACATCAACAGTCCAAACAATGTAAATAGTGCAAATAGTTATAAAAAAATCCTCTCGGAAATATAGACAGATATAGAAATATAAAGTCTTTTGAAAATATTAACATAATGTACTGATGTCTTTGAATATTGACTCCTGTTATTGCAAGCCATTGTTAAAAAATCACTCTTCATGCATGCTGTAAAAAAATAACTTTGCATAAATGTTTGTATATATTTGTTTTAATTTTGTTGGATAAATGTCTATTTTCAGTATTCTTTTGAAAATTTCAGTTATCTGTTTGCATGTCCATGTGTATAGAATAGAAATTAGTTTCAATAAGTTTTATTTTACTATTAAAAAAAAAAATTGATAAAACTGTTTTCCATTTTTTATTATATAAAATCAAAGAAAAGTTACTTTCACTATTTTGACGTACACACTTTCATACACATCTAAAAACAGTTGATCTCATTATCTTTCTTAAAAAGGTGTTTTAATGCTTTAACTATATTGCAGTATAATTAAGTCCTCATTTGCAGCTACTTGTTATGTATAACTGAATAATGTTTTTATTTGAAAATATCCTATGTACAGAAGTAGTTGTATTAATTGGCACCTGATTGCATTTGAACATCAGGATTGTCTTCCTCTGTCCTTTCTCCTCTGGTGGTGGTAACAGAGGTGGCTGTGAAGGCTCAGCTTACTCCTGAAGGCCATTCACATGAATTTGATTTTGGTGGACAACTCTACACGATGGAGAAGCCCCACACACTTAGCCACAAGTGCCTCCCTCACAGCTCAAAGGAGATTGAGACAGATGAGATCTGGCAAACCTGATTGAATCAGCTGTCAGATGCTTGGTCTGTCAAGGTCCACCTTGGTTAAACCAGTCTGACCTATGCTGCCCTCTTCAACTGGTTTGGCCATTGAGATTATACAGATCTATGCCTATTCTGCTGTTGGGGTCACCTGTGGTTGGTTGCATTCAGTCTGCTCCCTCCCCCTCGACTTTACCCTCATGAGTGGCCCTACAGGAGTTGAAACTCTAGACAGCTTCACTCTTGGGATCACTGGAACATGCAAGCCTTCTACTATGAAGTATAGCTGATAAGTGTTGATATCTTCTATCATATAACAATGGTTAGCAAATTTTGTCTCACAGACCAATTTATTTCATTCTTATTGCATGTCTCACTTTATGCCTAACTCAGTAAAGCTTAATAAATGATTTGTATATTAAAATATCTTTTCATTGTTTTTTTAGAGTGCCCAAAGGTTTGATAGCATTGAGGACTGTCCCATTGATACAGACAAATTATTGGTAAGTACAGATTCTTATGTTGTCTATTGTCTGTTATTCTACACTGAAATTAATAGTTCATATTTCAGTGTACATCAGGCTTTCAGTAACAGAGGACTGAAAGTGCAAGGCTGAAATCTGATGGTGCACTGAGATAGCAAAAGATCCTTTCAAAAGCTAAGCAATGTATTAAGAAAAAGAAAAAATTCATTGGGAACAAAGAAAAGAGTAATGGACTGTTATGTTATACCAGTCCTCTTATTTGGCAGTGAATGCTAGACAATCTCCTTACAGATGAAGGAGAAACTTGAAGCAACAGAAATTTAGTTCTATAGAAGGATGCTGAGAATATCATGGACCAAACATAAGAGCAGAGACAAAGTTTTAGAGAAAATGGAAACAAAAATGACATTTATACTTAACATCAGGAAGAGCATTTTAGGGCACATAATGAGGAAAGAGGGCTTGCGAAATTTGATACTCACAGGACATATTGAAGGCAAAAGAGACAAGAGGAAAACAATGCATAACTTACCTAGCAAGCTTGAGTAAATGGATGGTGGAGCAAGGTTTAGGAGAGATAACAGAAAGACAAAATTTATTAAGAGCTACAAAGGATAGGAAATTGTGGAGAGCCATGATCAACTTTGTCCTGAAGGGACATGACACATAGAGATTCTCATAGAAAAACTTCTGTTATTTGATAACCAAAAATCCATTTAGGATTCTGTTGCAAATAGTGACATTTAATTTATGATTATAAATAAAGTACAATACCAAATTTTCAAATATCTTGTAATATACTTTTTACAATCACTATTCTAGCTTTTAATGTCTTTACATTAATTTTTTAAATGTTTATTCTTTAATGCCAGTGAATTTCCAAATACAAGTTAAAGTAATAGATTTTTAAAAAAATAGCATATGGTAAAAAAAAAATTTTCATGGGGAATATTGTTCTTGAAAATAAAGTCACTATTCAAAGAAAGTAAATATTTTTTGCTAAGTAGCCTAACTAAAACAGCAATTACTTTGTGTTCTTGAATTGTAAATATTGACCATGGAAATTCCATAGGTTTACTAGCCTGGAGAAGACTTGTTGATAGGTTTCAATTTTAAATGATAGATACATACGAATTGGCATTTATATTGTTTATGGTTCGAAAGCAGAAAAGTAAAACTTAGTCACCCAGTTTTCTCTCAAACTTTGTCTCAATGAGAATGTAACAAATTCTCATTTTGTCTTTTTGCTCTGTTTATCTGCTTATGTTGACTGCTAACCTTTCATGCTCTGGCTGTTTCCCTTCTCTACTTTCTTTCAGCATCACATCCACATGAATCCTGCAACCATCAAAAAGAAAAAAGGAAGATGCTTCCTTGAGTTTTCTTTTATACCCACCACCCCCTATTGCTGCCTGTTGAGGTTGCCACTACTAGTATTTAATCCCTCACCTTACATCTCATTTTCTCAATTCCCAGTTTCAAATTAGATACCCTCCTGATCTGTGGGATCATCTCTACATTGCATAATCGTGAGACCAGTAAGGCAAACACCCTTCCCTTCACAATCTCTGCACTTGTTCTGGTTGAGTTTCATCCATTTCTCCTCCTAGGATTGTTCTATTAGCTGTAGAACTTGCCCTCCACCTAACATCCTGTTATGGAGTGATTTCACAGTGGAGGCTTGTATTTGTACTAAGTCGGTCCTAAAACAGGTTCGACGTACAAAACGTTAGGAGCTTGATATAATAGGTATAACGCAGAGAAATCTAGTTGTGGTGGCTGATACTTTAATATTCGACTAACTGTTGTCCGGCATCGACTGACTGACCAACTCACTGAGCGACTCCCTCGTTACTCTTACTACTCCTACTTATAGGTGGGAGAGTCTATTAACTATAGAATAGGTGTGTTCCACTATAATACATCCAGAATGTGTTAGGGTACTCTATCTACCAACACATTATTTGATGACTGCACACCAGTAACCATTCCTCTTCTTCACTGAGTCATGCATCAAGCCTTGGGTGGCTTTATCTACACCTCATAACTGAATTGGACTGAAGTAGGTTGCCACTTTTAAGTAATATAACAAGAAATGTATAAAGTGGGGAAAAAATAGATGAAAACTGATTTTTCAATAGTAATTTTTAGTGATGAATTTAGAGCTAAATTGGATGGACCTGATGTCTGGGATTGTAGTTGGATCCTCCAAGCAAATATTCAACCAACATGATTCAGAAGACAAAATAGTGGAACATCAAGTAATATTTTGGGTTAATGTTGTAGGTAGCAAAATTATATGTCCCTTTAAAGCTGATGATGGTATCAAGATAAATGCAGAGAGATACAAGTTCTTGGACATGGATGTTTTGAGTGGAATGTCATAAGGTAAAGTGTATATTCATGTAAGACAATGCTACTTCACCTCCTGAAAAGCTAACTTTCTGCTCACCTTACCAAGAAAGGTTTCAAACACAAAAATGGGTCCCATTGTCACCAGGTATTAATTCAATAGAAAACTTGTGGTCCATGTTTAGCAGAAGTAGATGAGAAAGGAAAACAATATTCAAAGCAAAGAAGTAATAAAAATTACTGCAGACAATGTTAAAGTCTAAACAGTAAAAAAGCTTACAAAAGCAATGAATGAAAGGCTGAAAAGGATTGTAGAATGTCAAGGAGCTCATCATGTAAAATGATAAAATGTGATTCAAGGATTATTAAAATTTCCAAATCTCAAACTGAGACAGTTTTCAAATTTTATTATAGGTTTAGTTTCTCATAATAAACTGTTTTCATGATACAACATCTTTTAAGCTTCAAATCTGAAACAAAATAAAAATGAACACTGATATCCAATATCTCTTATGGGAAACCAAGACAGTTCCAGCCAAACTGAGAGGTATGGTAAGACTAGGTATATATGATATTGTGTTAATCAAATATCTTTCTATGGCTAATATCTTTTAGATTTATTTATGAATAAAAATTTGTGTTGCACTTTGACTGTTAAACCCTGTTTATCTCCAAAAGAAGTTATTAGTAATATTTTTAATAAGGACAGCTATTATAAGCTGAATGTCACAGGATATATTGTTCATATAAAAATAAGTCTCTTGGAAACTTTACTGACATAAGTTGGTTAATACCAATTGTGAAAACATTGATTTGCATAATAAGATCTAACATAGTGTAATATCTTGATTTTAAAATTTCCATTTTTTACTAAGCATATCAAAAGTACATATTTTTATTTTATTTTTTATTGTATCTGGATGGATACCAAATATCATCAAAATATGCAATGACCAGTAATGTCAGTTGTAGTGGTAATACGAAAAACAGACAATTTGCTGTTCATTGGTTGCTCTATTTAAATGTAGAATGGAGTGTATGATTGGTAAATACTGCACATGAGAAAAGGTGGGAAGTGTCAGCAACTCTCACTCACACACACACACACACACACACACACACACAAAGAGTCTTATATGTATACTGTAATTGTTTCCCTTTGTTTTGGCCACAAGAACTGAGTAACATTTTCATGTTGTCAAACTTTTATTTTAGTTTGTTTTTTTATTCTTTGTATGAATTTACTGAGTGAGTCTTGCTCATGAATATAGGTAAGATTTGTTTTTCTTTTAACTATTCAACTACAAACTGTTTTGGTATTTTAGCACTAAGATAGCAGAGTTGAAAATTAGTAGTGAGATAATGAAGCCATTTAGTGGCAAAGGAGATATTGTCACATGATTAAAGAAAGTGACATTAGTAGTGAGATTGAATTTACTATATGTAGTAACCTTTGAATCCTTTTATCTAGAGGGGGTGAATTAGCCCTATACTTGCTAATACACAGTTATATGCAGAACAGGTAGAAGCTAGACTGAAAAGTTTTTTTTTATTTTTTCATTTTTTTTTTATAGAGGTGTTAGTTATGGAAAAGCTGAAGAAGGTGAAGTGAATTATGCCAATAAGATTAGAAAGTTGTCTGGATTGATAATATTTATTGCAAGTGATGAGAATATTAATGATGACAGATGAAAAGATGATGAGGCAAATATTCAAGTTCCACAAACATCAAAAGGAAAGAGGGAGAGAGAGCAACATCAATACAAGTGAATGAGTGTCTATGATATGGCTTAATTAGGATTATCTGGAGAAATAATCCTAAATAAAACTTTTTCATAGTCACTCATCCCAGATACACTTATGCAAAATACTGACAACAAAAATCCAGATGAACTCAATGGATCAGGACAATTGGAGACAATATAATGAGATGTTGTGAGTGGAGACTTAGCCAAAAAAAAAAAATGTAAATAAATAGGATTAAGCTGGGTTAATTATAAATAGGTGTAAATAGAAATGGAATCTTTTTTGGTTCAATTTCATTGTCCTTTTACATTTACAGTTTTAGATAATGGTAGCAATGTGAAATGATTAATGAATATACTGTACGATCAGGGTGAGGAAAAATTAAGTGTGAGCAACATCATATGTGGCTTCCCTCTGCCTGTTCTACAAATATTTTCATGGTAACTGCTCGGACAAACTTTTTTTTTTCTGGTGTCCTCACTCCACGAATTAAAGCGTGCTACTAGATTGGCAACTAGATATCACTGCTTTACTCTTGAACTAGTTAGATGCAGCTGTCATTTCTACACTAACAGTTTTTTTTTTTCTCACACTTCCCACCCTTGGAAGTACCCATCCAATTTCTTGCTTCCCTGCCACCTACAGTCTTCATAAGTTTAAATACAATGTCAATCATCATTTTCTTCTTGATTTTTTTTTTTTTTTACCCTTTCCCCAATTCTCCTCATTTTTTATTATATTCTCATTCACTCTCTGTTGCTGTGCTTGGGGTGAAATGATTATATATATATATATATATATATATATATATTATAATAATAATAAATTAAAGTAAAAAAGTTCAATATTTATTGAATATCAACAGTGTTTTGCAATATTTGAATCCCTCATTGGAACCTGCAATAAAAAATTATTGTGAAAAACCTATTTTACTTGTATTTTAATAATAATTGCTCTAGTCTTATATTGAGTACTTTGTTGGCAAAGGTTCTGCAAAATTTGAATATATGTTGAATTGTATAATTTAACATACATTACTTGCTATTATTAGTAGCTAGCATTTTTATTTTATTATATATAATTATGTATATAAATTAAATTGTTTCACTTTTCTTCTGATTATTTCCATTCCTTGTTTCATGGTATTACATCCACACTTCAGGAGACTTGGTGTTACCAACAAGCCTCCAATTGGATGTAATTTCATGAAACTCAAAGTATAGACAGTCATAAAATTAGTGAACAAATTTGACTTATTATTAATGAGCTCTCTCTTTATAATGAGCACTGTAATTAAAAAGACTGCTTACCTTAAAAACATTCTCTTCAAAAACTACTCTGGTCAAATTTTTTTTGTTGTTATTATATGGTATTTGCATGTCATCCAATCTAGTTTGGCTTATTCTTTGCATGCAATTACTGGGTGAGTGTTGCTCGTGAATATAGGTAACATTTTCTTTTTCATTCTTTATTTATTTAACTAGAGAGAGAGAAAGAAAGGTTGAACAGGGAATATGTTTCCCTTCATCTAAATTGCCTGACCACTTCCAACAATTTGCTAGAACGTAAAATGCAATGAAGGATGGCCATATTTACTATAGATATTTAATCAGCAAGAGATGCTATATAGGATTTTATCACCTATATAGCCGTAGATATGATAGATGTATATTTCAACTTCAGGCAAAGAAAAACTGACTTCAAATGATGGGAAATATTTTTCTTGCCATCATCTTTCAACCAACATGTTCTGTTTTGTCTGTGTTTTTTTTTTTTTTTTTTTTTTTTATTATTATTTTTCATTGTTTTCTTTTTCTTCTTCCAGGGAGACCCTATATTTGTTCCAATAAAATTTGATGACAAAAGCAGTGGAGCAGAATCTGATGAATCCTCAAGTAACTTTTCTTTTCTTTTTAACTTACACTGAAGTGTAGCTAAGAATTATAATATACTCTGTTCTTTCTTCCAACATTGTTATATAATACCATCATATTAAAATGTTATGCTCTTTTAGGTGAGTGCATGAAGAAAAATTAATTAGAGTAAGAATTCTTGTTTAGAAATGCCATTATTTTATTAAACACTTGTTCATGTCCTGTGAAAAGAAGGATTTTGCTCATGATTCTGCAAGGAACTATTGAGAATTTCACATTCTGGTTTTACTATCTTTTGTCTTAGTCTCTTTATTTGGTATTTCATTACTATATCTACCACCATGAATCTGAAAAACTAAAAGTTCTGCTGTCATTAATTTATACCTGGCAAAATCTCATTTACAGAGTATGCTGTTCATAGTTCATGATGTTTAACAACATCAACTGTTTTATCTTCAGTTAACATCTTATGCCAAACAGGTTTACAACCATATGACATTGAAACACCAGTTCTTGTATGATCACTGAAGTTAAGCAATATCAAGCCTGGTCAGTACCTAGATAGGTGATTGCTTGGGAATGCCAGGTGCTATAAGTTTGAATGAATAGGCAGTGTAATGGATAATGGCTCAGTTGGAAATCAGAGCCAAGTTCCAATTCCTGTTGGATTTGTAAAATTCACTCGTGCAAATACTCTTGGGAAAGGTATGAATCTTCTTCTCCCCCCAGATGTGAGTTAATTAGTAGGACTTGTATCAGTAAATCATTATCACCATTAAAAAAATTCTGCAAAAGTTTGATAAGCCATAAAAACAAATCAAGCAATCAAACAATCTCATGCCAAACTAACCACTAAATCAGACTTTGTTTTTCGATGGAAAAAATTCACTGGCCTACTTACTGATAATTAAATTTTCAGTGAGTTGAATTGCAAATACTTTAGTTTTCTCATTCTGAGTATGATAAACTGTATACAGTACTTAATTGCTGTTGTTCTCAGGTCCACCCTGACCCAGGGCTATAGTACCTGTTAAGGTCCCAACTATGGAAAAATAATGAAACTCCCCAAACTGGGTTCAAAACAGAAAAATACATTAAAAAAATTACCAGTAATAAATTTTCATAGTTAAAAAAAAAAAATTAGTTACAATACAAGAAAAAAATTACCAATGCTCAGAAGAAAATAAATTTCAGCATTTAATGACTCATAAGGAGTTGATATGCCATTATACAAACAAACCAAACTTCAATGTTCCAAACAAAAATGGCAAGTTTTGGAATTTTTCAGATGCCTTCTTTTTTTTTTTTTCACTCATGTGCTTATTGTGTTCAGAATTCAAAGATTAAAATATCGCACATAATAAAATCAAAGTTGTAGTTTATTTTTATTAACTGCCAAGTATAGAATAGCAATCAATAAAATGTAGAAACTGTTAGTTTTAAATAATGAAAAAGTAAGATAAATCAATTTAACATCTTAAAACATTGTATTCATAATGAGACTATATAAGTGGCTTATATTTTTATTTACTTACAAATTCAATGATTTCATTTATTATAAAACATAGTATGTTTAATTTTTAAATAAGTTTCACTTGAGCTAAAATTGAACAAAAGGATTTCAACAGAATTCACTTTAATTAAAGTTTTTGCATATTTGAATATAATATTCTGATCTGCCAATATTCCTTATTTGTAAATATATTAAAAAGAACAAAAATTTTCTTACAAATCTGTCCAAATTGTTTAAACTATATTAATAGTAATTTCTTTAACAAATTAAAATTATGGTATTGATTTTTTTTTTTCTGCAGTATTTAATTTTTTTTCTTTTGCACTGGTTACATATTACACCATGTAGAAGATTTATTGATTGTTTTTTTATTGATATGAGAGTTATAATCAGAAAATATAACAGCATTCTTAGATTGGAATAATATGGAATTAGAGGAGATGACTAGAAGAATACGTAAGTTGGTGAATATACTTAAGGCTTTGAATCAAGACAGTGATGTTTACTGACTGTTATATTCCAAGAAAAAGAGGAGGTAGAAGGTTAATAAGTGTTGAAAAAATTCTCATTGGCTTTTCTGGGACTTGAGAATTATGTTAAGAGTTATCATGAATTGCTTCTGACAGCTGTATGGAGGGTGGATGAGGATATGGAAACATGAAGTATTGTGTGAGTGACTATAGCAAAGAAGCAGCATAAGAAGAAGTGGCATGACAAACTAAAAGAAGCTTTGTGGTCATTTTTTCAGCAGACTATTAAAACTTCCTATTGTAAGGTCATTGTCATAACACACACTTGTACTTGGTATAATGTAATTTGTTAAAGTATTCTTTATATGTAATGCTTCGGCTATTGCCGTACACCTGTATAGTTAGTATGAAGACTGACTCCAATATGACTACTACTATCCTCATACTATAGAACTCTTTATAGTGGAGGACGAGTTCATAGAGTCACTGGGGGTGTACTCTTTATGCCACAACATCCCTCACCCTTTTGAGATTACTACTTTATTAAATAAATATATTTTTTGATTTTATTTTTATTCCATATTAGTATCTCCCCCTTCTTTTTCTGGAAAGTTCACCAACATATTTTGTAGTGTTTACTTTTCTTTGAACTTGTCCTTATAGGTTCCCTGATTTGTTTTGGTGCTGACACATCAAAAATGGTGTAAAGCAGGTTCTTCAGATCTTTCATCAGTGAATTTTTTCTTCAGCTGATTTCGGTGTCTTTTATATTGAACTTTTTTTCTGCTGTTCAACTTCAAAAAAATTTCTTCTGTACTTATAAGCAATTCTGTTTTTCAAGACAACTATTTAATCCAGTTGAGAAATCCATGCAAAACACAAATTTTGTCATTTTTTTCCCTTTACACCTTTTCCTTTAAACCTTATTATTATAGATAGGGAGAATAGCAAGTGTTAAATTATTGATGTTACTGTTCCATGTGATACAAGAATGAACTCCAGAAACAGTAAAAAGATAGAAAAAAGGCAAGCAATATGGCAATATTCACCAACTTAAGGAGACCTTCCAGGAGAGATGCAGGGGATTCCATTGTTGTTTGGAGGCCATGGTTGAAGTCAATGGTGATTTTATTCAATAAATTAACTCGTTAGTATTTCAAGATCTTTCTGTGTAATTTTGGTAAATATATCTGTTAAAGTGAGGTGTCAGTGTTATTTTCATTTTTGTATAATTTAGACGACAATTTATCCATCGCACCCTGTATATATGTGTACATTAAATATATTAATATAATAATAATAATATTATTATATTCATGAAACAATCTCCTGTGGTGAATGATATTTTATTTAATGTGGGCTTTTTATCTTATAATAGCACCATATTCATTCTTGAAAATGATTGAGACAGTTGAAAGTGCTTGAACAAAACAACACAGAATAAACTTTGGACAGTTTATCCACAATTTTGATCACATTACACAATACTTTATTTGGAAAAGGCAATAAAAAAATAAACCGACAAACCTTGTCACCTTTTTTTTAATCAAACATTTCTGACAAATATCAGTTTTTGTTTTGGAAGGTTTTCTTGGCTGGATTGAATACTTTCCAGCACCTCTTTTTTTGTGTATATATGCACACACAAACTCTTCCCATTTTCAGTGACACTTAAGAGTATATCTATAATATGTTGTTTATTTTATAATTATTTTCATTCTTCCTCTATGTTCATGACTTCTTTCCTGCCAAAGAACTGACCTATGCATAACAATGAGGATTAGCTAAAAAAAAAAAATCCACTGGGTGGAGGGATCACTTTGATGCAGCTATGTCAGCAATATCTTTGAATGGATAAATCTGTCTGAATTTCCAAGACAATGAAGAGTTATCATTATTCTAATCTGTTATTGTATTCCAATATCTGTTATAGCGTTCCTTTCTATATCATTGTATTCCAATCTTTCTGTCTTTCTTGTCAACTTAAGCAAACAGTGATTCATATCAACTGTCACATCACATTCCTGTCTGACTATCATTTTTATTCCAGTCAGATGTTCAATAAACAAAACTGTTTATTTGGCTTATCTTCTAAATTTTGTTTGCACACTGACTACAAAGTCACATTATTCAACAGTTGTATTTTTATAAGAGTGTTTGACCATCTTTTGAATACAACAAAATAATTCTGTTTTAAGCTAAAATTTTAGAACTGTCAAAGTATTTTCAGTAAATTTTAATTGAAAAAAAGAAAGAAAAAAAGAGGAGAGAGAAAGTATTTACATCATTGGGACAATTGTCCTCATCTTTATTGTCATATTCACAATGTTTCAGCTGTTGTGTGCTCTGTCCTTCTTCAGGTGATATGTTAGATTTTGAACACATTGCCCAGTGGATAAAAGCATTGGTTGGAGTATACCAATGACTTTACCCAAAAAGTTGTGAATTCAATACCTGGCCACAGCTTGGAGAGTGAAGTTACTAAAGGGAAATAACTGAAACTGAGATATCCAGAAAAGGCATGGCACGTGGAACTAGAACAATCTACTCCAGAAGATGAAATAAAGGGTTCAGTATGAAATTCCAACTGAAACATCATGTATAGGACAATAAAGATGAGGACAATAGTGTAAGCAATGTAAATTGTGTAAATAGTTACAATGCCTCATCCCAGAAATATAGACAGATGAAAAAAGAAAGCATGCTAAGATATTTAAGATTTCAAAATTCAAACTTTTCTTCTACTTTCTTTTTTTTCTTATCTTAACATGACTTTAGTAGTATAAATGGATATCCATGATTCATGAAAAGATGAATTTTGTAATGCATTGTTAAGTTAGATATTTCTGCCTTTTGCATTTCATTAGCCATTGCTCAACTATTGATAACTCTTTTATTGTTAGTGCACTGGGAATTATTGACTACTTTCATGGTGAATAGGAAGTAAGCCTGATTGGAGTTGTAATTAGGAAGATATGAATAAGCAAAAGAGACACTTATACATGACTTCTTATATGTAAAGCAAGTTAATAACTGTTTCCAATGGCAGCTGTTGAAATACATTTTGGAGCTTTGTATTTTTTTCTGATTCAGTCTTTAGTTTCTATGAAATTTTGACAAACATACTTTTTCTCCAATAAATAAACAAGTTTACTAAATGGTGCTATAATCTGGAGTAGGGAATTGTTTATTTGCCTCTCAAATTTTCACAGAAACTTGCATTACTAAAATTTTACATGTATTCTGGGTTAATGTTTTGAAATTTGATCATTAAAGACAATTTTAGGAGCAAAAAATCTGTTTTGTTCTTAGGCAACAGAATCAGGGCAATTTTAATTAAGGAAATATTTCTTTACATGCAAAATTTTCTCTTTTTATATTTTAGCAGACTGAAGCATTTACTACTGTTTGTGTTTATATGCAATTGAACAAATATTGCTGTATAAAACAAATCTATTTTTCTGTTATTTTTAATTCAAATTTCTGTCTGAATTTCTGGGAAGAGCAGTTATTATTCACATTCAGGCTAATGTCTTCAATTTGGTGATCCTGGTGTTTGGCTTTCTTCAGAAGTTTGTCAACAGAACAATAGTCTAGTGGATTAAAATGTTGGTTTGTGAATTTGATGACATAGTAATTGTGAGTTCAATCCCTGGACCACGTAGTACAGACTTAGAATAAGTAATAACTGAGAATTCCTGAAATAAGCACGAGACGAGATATCCCTTGACAAAGAACAGCAGAATGAGAACAATCTCCTGTACATTAAATAAAGGGTCCGGTTTGAAATTCCCTGAATGTTACCCAGTTTGACAGAACACCATGGCTGAAATGTTATAAAGAAAAAAAGTGAGGAAATTAGTCCAAATGTAAATAATATTTTAAATTGTTTAGCAAATTTACCTTTACCAGTTTTAATCCATGAAAATTTCTTGGTTTTGCCATTTTAATATTCTGATGAATCTTAATTCTCAACTTAATGATTGAGTAAGCTCATGGTGAGTTCTATGACAATAAAATATCCGTAGAAATTTCCAATAATGCAATAACAATCATAAATATGAATGCTGGTCATTATTTTAAGTGGGTAAAGATGAAAAGCTTTCAAATTAACAACTTTTTCCATTACACTGAAATAGATGTTAAACACTACTATCTTGGCTCTCTTTCTTTCTTTCTTTGATTTTCTCACTGAAACCAAGTAGTATCTCCCCCCCCCTCTTTCCAAGCAATCAAAACAGAATAATCCATTATTTATGAGGTACTGACAGGGTATAATGGTAAACAATTATAATAGAGAATAAATAATAGTGACTGAAAACATTATTTCATCACATTCTGTAGTTTTCTTTTTATTTAGTTTCATTTCAGTGTAAGAATTTTTTTTTTTTTTCAACAACTTTTAATTATGATACTCAAATGATAAAACAGATGTTGATCCTGTTATTTTTGGCAATGTAGATTGTTAGGGTTGATAAAGAATGAAATTAGTACTTTCTGTTAAAACTATTAAATCAGAAATATTGCACTAATTATGGTACTTCTGCTTTAGCTTAATAATAGTTTTATTTGATGACTATTTAATGTTTTGTTTTGCATTAATTGCAAGAGATGTAAACAAAAATCTAATCCTAAAACTATTTTTAACTTATTGCTATCATTGAAGTTTTTCACCAGCATCTTTATTTCTTAAAATAGTTATCTAAGAATATAAGTCGCAGATAGGAGCTCTGGCTTTAATGCGATGGATACTCTTGTAACTAATCAATAGCAAGTTTGTTTATCAATGGTTGCTCCATGAATGTGACTTTGTACTAAAATTGACACTGTCTAACTTTGTCTATAATGCAGCATTAAAACATCTGATGAAAAACATTTGTAATAATTAAAGTTGATGAATTTTACTGATTTTGAATGATTTCTTCTCTAAAGCCAAATGTTAATGGTGAGATTAGCTGTTTCTGTAGAGGAAATATTCAATGTTCATTGGTCAGTGTTACTGTTGGCTGAAGTTCAAAAAATCTGTTTCTTAAAACAGTTTTTGAGGAGGAAAAAACTTCACTCTTTCTAGTTGTAATGGAGAATTTGGTCAGCCTGACAAGAGATCCAGAGTTTGTTGTGTATGGTGCAGTAAGTACCAGGAGTTAAGTCCTCTTCCACTATTGGCTGTTGAGAGAGGTCATTCTACTTAGAGAAGGTGGTGCCGACAAAACTTGCATATGAATGATACTGGGTAGGTATTAGCCAATAGTCAAGTGTGAGTCTGGGACTGAGAGAGCTATATTACACCAGCTCTTTCTCAAGAAAGCACTCTCACTGTGTGGGCTAACAGTTTTGCATCAGAGTTGGAGCTTACATTTACTTTAACTTAGAAAACCAAACAAGATGAATGCACTAGTAGTGATCGAACATTCATTCCAAACCTTTTCTTTAGTGTAGTGAAGAAAGTTAAAAACATCTTGATAATATTATTTTCTCTTCTAGTTATATTTGTTGTTGCTGCTGTTAGAAATATTCAAGTGATTTAATTTTTATTATTTGGTAAATCTCTTTAAGATCTTGTAGCACCAGTCTACAATCTGATGAAGGATTATCTTCTTTAAGATTTAAAGGATTTATTTGTTTAGAGCCATTTTTAATGACTGATCTGAAAAAAAAAACAATTGTATACAGATGATAATTAAAACATTTTTGAATGAGTTAGCCATCATGTATGGCATCCATATGAAAGTTTAGAACTTAGGAGGCAATTTAAAAACATGAGTATAGTTTTCAAATGAATAATTTGGTTTATGTATCATCTTATGGTATTTATAAGAGTTTCCTTCCAAAACTTTTGCTTTTGGTAACATAGAAAGTTAAAACTTGATTATATCAGTATAATCTCTTCTAGTTACATGTACTATCTATCTTTGTTGTTGTTGCTTTTAGATGTCTTCAAGTGATGTGGTTTAAAAAATTATCCTTTGAAATAATCTCTCTCTCTCTTTCATACACATATATATATATATATATATATATATATATATATATACAATTGTATAGATGTGAGTTTTACAAACTCACATCAATAGAACTAAGTATGTTAGCTCTATCACTGATATTGAGCACTTTCCATTAAGCATTACACACACACACACACACGTGTGTGTGTATATATATATATATATATATATATATATATATATATATATATATTAAATTTTTGAGTTTTTCTAGTATTCTTAAATTTTTACATTTTGTGGAGGTAAGGGATTGTAAAACTTCTCTGTAGTGTCTATTGTCCCAAGCACATTTGGCAATCCTTTAGCCATTTTCATTGTTAATTGTTATTCATTTCTTTTCATGATTGTCTTTTAAGGTGTGAAAATATTATTTAAAAATATATTTATTAATCTTTTACAATGTCAGTGAATTTTATCTTTTAATTTTTTGATCTTTCATAAAACAAATGTTAAGCCTTTAATAAAATTTAATAGTTTTATTTTTGTAGAAATAAAATTTCAGTTGAAGAAAAAAGTTAAAAAATTAATTTAAAATGATGACTAAGTAAACTGAAATTCTTTTTCTAATTTTTAGTTAAAAGTATTTTCCGTTTACTTAGGTTATTGAAAAAGTTCTTTGGCTTTTTCTGAAATATGATTTTTATTATTAATTTTTCACTAGTCTTTCTTTCATTTTATTTCTTTTGCTTTTTTTTTATTGTAACTTTCAGCTCCTTATTCTATGAGAATGAAAGAACAATTAATCAAAAATGACAATGTTTCATTTAAGAAATTTGAGCAACTTAAGATTGTTATTAAGATATAAACAAACAATGAAAGAAAAACTAATCAAAAATTAAAACAATAATAATATACTCCCTTCTTCCTCAAAAACAAGAAAACATGATTTTTGTTAATTCTTTTAGTTTCTTTTTTTTTTTCTTTTACAGATGATTCCAAGAACAAATCCACAGTAAGGTTCAGTAACCTCTCAGAGGTGCGGCAGCTTTCTGGTAAGTTACATGTCTTTTCAGCGATGTTCTTCCTCTTAAATGGATAAGAATTAGGAGACATTTTTTACTTGAATATTTTTTAAAGTTTAAATTAAATTTCAGTAATTTAAAAATAATTAAGAATGAATCTATTTTTCTGTCCCATCATAATTATTACAATTTTATCAAAATGCTTACATTTTTTGTGTTTAATGTCCTTGTCTCAATTGATTTGCATATATATGCGTATTCAGCAGACTTGACATGATCAAATAAAGAATTTTGCACACAAATAAATTTGTATCTTTTAATTAAAAAGAAAAAAAATAATTATTTGCATAACCTACTTAAGTTCAGAGGTTTAGTTAATATAAACAAGTTTATTGTAGTTGTCTGATAAATTTGAAAGTATAATGCATATTGTTATATTATCATCTCTTTCATAATTTTTATCAACTCCAGAACCACTGTAAAGGTTTACAGATAATTTATATCTAATACATACATATTAACAAATCTGTTAAAATCACTATGTCATGCTAGACAATTTTTCTTGACAGAATCTATCATAGGAATTTATAAGTCTACCATTTGTCCATGCATTGGATATTGCTGTCCCATCTGGTCTGGTACTTCTGCTACATCTCCCACCACTTTAATATAGCTTCCCTGTGCCTTTTCTATAAATATTTACATGGTAATTGTTCTGGTTTGCTCTTTGGTATCTTGGCTTTACAAATGTAAGTGCAGTACTAGATTGATCACTACATCTCATCATTTTACAGTTGAAATTACTAGATGAAACTGTAAGTTTTAACAGTTTTTTCTATTGCACTTGTGAAATTCTGTTCTGGTTTCTTGCTTCCCAGTCAGCTTTGGTCTTCAAAAATTTAAATGCAATGTTAATTCTTATCTTTTGTGTTGTGATGATATAACCCAACTTCCCCATTCCCGATAATGGACGGACTGGTTGCCGATTAAGTACGACCACAGCGGACAGTCGTCAAGTCTTCGTTTGTTAACACCTATTGAGGTTAGCATACTCCCGACTCTGTCTCTGTATTTGACATACCTACATCCGATTATAAACCTATTATTGAAAACCAACACTGGTTACTTTTGTTTATTATATCTTGCACGAGATATAACAGCTGGCGACGAGGATTGTGCAACGTACTTACTTGAAAAAAAAAAAAATGTATATATATATCAGATTATGCTGAACGGATTGGGAAGTAGATTCGCAAGTCAAAGATATCAGTTGACGCCGATTAGGATTTCGAAAGCGGAGTCACAAGTCAAAAGGAAACTTTTTGAAAAGTAAGAAAATTTTACTGTTAAATTGTGATTTGAAAATATATATTGAACCCTTGACTCAAATGCTAGTCGGTCTAATAATTGATTATTCAAGTAAAAATTACGGGTTGTAAAAAATATTACGGATGTAAATTGTCTGTTAACCGTCTAAAGAAAAAAAAAAAAAAAATTTTTTTTTTTGTCAAATTCTAAATAAAGTCAGGATGGAGCAATTAGTCGAAATGACTAAAATGCTGTGTACAAGCTTGCAACAACAACAGCATCAAGAGTTACAACAACAAATACTGCAACAGCAAAAAAGTCTCAAAAATTCTGAAACAGGTGACTGGAGAAAGAAAAAATGCTGTTTTTTCTGCCGAAGGAATAGCAAATTCATTATCCGAATTTATATATGAACCTGATTCGGGCATTACATTTCCAGCATACTTTAAACGTTTTGAAACTATATTTACCAAGAGATGTCAACATTGGTCGGATGAGGAACGAGTAACGAGTCCAGAAACTAGGGACAAACGAGAATACGAAGTTCTCAAACTTGATATTGCCTAGAAAGCCAGAAGAAGTTTCGTTTGAAGAGACTATAAGTATTCTGTCAAAAATATTTGATGAAAGGAATAGTCTGTTCCACACGCGATACAGATGCCTAAACATCGTTAAAGCAGATAACGAGGATTTTCTGACATACGCGGGAACAGTGAACTCTCTGGTTGAACAATTCAAGTTAGAAGAAATTCCCAAAGATGTATTCAAGTGCCTAATTTTTCTTCAAGGACTAACTGATCCTAAATATAAAGAAATTAGGTCGAGAATATTAATAATGATCGAGCAAGACTCTAAAAAATAACATTACAAAGGGTGACTGAAGAATGCCAACGTCTCATAAACGTAAAAAGGGATAATACAGAAATTGAGGAAAAAAAGTGTTGCTAATGTTCGACACGTAAAAACTCAAAAACTCAAAAGCCAAAAAAGATAGAAAAAATGTGAGATGTGTGGAAAAAATAACCATACCAAAAACATGTGTTGGTACAAAAATAAATTCTGCCAATCGATGCGGAAATAAAAATCATACCAAAGACGTGTGTTGGTACAAAAATAAATTCTGTCAATCGTGTGGAAATAAAGGGCATAAATATTCGGTTTGCCGCAAAAAAAGGAAATTACAAGATGTAAACCTGGTATTATCAGAAAAAGAAATTCAGAACGGTAAAAATAGAAAATGCGTAGATGTGCATTATAAATAATCATACAATTACTTTCCTATTGGATTCTGGTTCAGACATAAGCATCATTGATGAACAAACATGGAAAAATATTGGAAGACCCAAATTATCTGAAACCAAAAACGCTAGAGGGGTTTCAGGAAAGAAATTAAACTTTAAGGGAGAATTAAAGTGCGATATTTCGATTTATGTGGCAAGACTGCAAAAAACGAAAGTGTATGTAATCCAAGGGATTAATTCATGTCTTTTGGAGTAGACTGGATAGTACTCTTTGATTTGTTTGAACTGCCGATTAACTCATTTTGCAACGTAATAAACAGTGCAGAAAAACAAAAAAGTATTAAAAATGAAAAATTTATGAATGAATTAAAAGAAAAATATCCCAGAGTTTTTTCTGAGGGATTGGGTTTATGTACTAAGACGGAAGTCAAATTTGAACTCAAGGAAAATGTGAAACCAATTTTTAAACCTAAGAGAAACGTTCCTTTTTCCTCCTTAGACACAATTAATAAGGAATTGGAAAGGCTTGAAAAAAATGGGAGTGATATCTAAGGTTGACCATGCGGATTGGGCCTTGCCCACAGTTTATGTTAAGAAGAAAAACGGAAAAATAAGAGTCAGTAATTTTTTCAACGGGTTAAATAATTGCCTTAGAAATCACAGTTATCCACTACCTTCACCAGAAGATATTTTTCAAAAGTTGAATGGTGGTAAGATTTTTTTCAAAAATCGACCTGTCTGACGATACTTGCAGATTAAAGTGAGTGACGAATGCTCAAAATATTTGTGTATAAATACACATAAAGGTATTTATAAGCTAAATAGGCTTCCTTTCGGCTAAAAGGTCGCCCCAGCTTTGTTCCAACAGGTGATGGACACTATACTGGCAGGCCTTGAGTTTGGTACCGCCTATTTAGATGTCATTCTAGTCAAAAGTAAGAATGTTCAAGAACATAAAACGCACATCAGAGCGATATTCAAAAGACTAAAAGATTTTGGTTTTAAATTAAGCCACAAGAAGTGTAAATTCTTCATGGAAAGAATTACATACCTCGGACAGGTGATAGACAGTGAAGGCAGGAAACCGGACCCACAGAGAGCCGATGCAGTTAAGAACATGCCTGCACCCGACACAGTTGTGAAACTACAATCATTTCTGGGGTTGGCACAATATTATGCAATCTACATACCTAAAATGTATGATTTAAGAGCCCCCCTTAATGAATTGTTGAAAAAAGACAAGAAATAGTTTTGGTCAAAAGATTGCGAGACAGCTTTTCAGAAAATAAAAAAATGCCTACTCTCAGATCTCGCCTTAGCACATTATGATCCTGAGAAAGAGATCATTCTGGCAACTGATGCAAGTTTATGCAATTGGGTGCTGCACTGCTACACAAATATGAAGATGGCACTACTAAACCGATCGCAGACGATCGAGGACTCTTCTTCCGGCTGAAAAAAAATTATAGCCAGATCGAGAAAGAGGCTTTGTCGATTGTGTTCATGGTTAAAAAAAATACCATCGCTTTTTACATGGTAGATCATTTGTACTTCAAACGAACCATAAACTGTTACTTACAATATTTGAGGTAAAAAGGCATTCCTACACATACAGCTAATTGCTTACAGCGATGGGGTGTAACCCTGTAATTACCATTTTAGGATGGAATCGTCAAATCTAAAGAACATGGGCATGTGGATGGATTGTCAAGGCTGATTCCAAAAATGAAGAAATTTTAGAAGAGATGGTGATAGCAGCATTAACTGAGGAAAAAAAAATATCAGGTCTCTTGTTGAATACAATCAGGAAATTGCCGCTAACTTTGGACCAAATAAAAAAAAGCGGAAAAAAAAATCACTATATTGTGAAATTAAGGAACCAGACGAGATGGAACAAAAAGACAGAAAAGGGAACTCAGATTTCACCTTTTTCAATTTGCGACAACACGTTGATGTACATGAGATAGAATTGTTATACCTCAATCTCTACGTATTACAGATATGCTGAAAGAATTTCATACCGGTCATCCTGGAATGTCTCGGATGAAATCACTCATGCGTGATTTACGTATACTGGCCAGGAATGGACAAGGATATTGAAGGTTTTGTAAGACTATGTAGAGGTTGTCAATTGGCTGCAAGGGCACCTCCGGTCAAAATGAATCCTTGGCCGAAAATGGATTTGCCGTGGGCACGTCTACATATAGACTATGCTGGACCAATTAATGGGTACTATTATTTGCTATTGGTGGACTCTTTATCGAAATGGCCTGAGGTAATCAAGTGCAAGCATCCTACATCTAGGAACACCATCGGTGCATTGGATGAAATTTTCTGTCATTTCGGGGTTCCCAGGACATTGGTTACTGACAATGGTATGGCGTTCACAAGTATGGAGTTTAAGGATTTCTGTACTGCCTTAGACATTGAACACATAACTACACTAGTGTGTCATCCCAGGTCGAGCGGTCAAGCCGAGAAATTTGTTGACACTTTTAAACGTGCTACGTAAAAAATAAAGGTATGGACACGGAAGAAAGAACTATTCAGAAGTTCTTAGCAATCTATAGGTAACTCCTAATGAGAAAAACGACGAAAATGTCACGGGCGGAAATTATGTTATGAAGGAAAATTAGATCAATTTTCGATAGATTGTTATCCTATCAAAACAAAAAAGTTGCTAAGAAAGAGGAAAAAGTCAACATAAAAAATACACTTCAGGAGACAAAGATTTTTTTTTTAAATTTTAAAAGTGGAAAAAAGCTATTGGATGGATGGCATAATCCAGAAAAGGATTGGTAAAAGTGGTCTACACGATTAAAAGTAAAAAATTTACGTGTAAAAGACACATCAATCAGATTAGACCATGATACGGTGAAGAAAGTGAAAAAGCGAAGAAGAAATTCGATGGAAGTGTTATGCGATGCTTTTGACATGACACTACCCAATAGTGTATATGAACCTGTATCTCATGGACCAGCCTTACGGGCTGAAAAGCGGAAATTATCTTCGCCAAAAAAGGATCTAATTGTGACGACTAAAAGAAGGAGCACACGGAGCGTTTTCGCCCAGATCCAAAAAGAAGATGACATTAGAAGCAGAAATTTTCAAAAGGGAGAATTTCAGCTTCGGGGGGAGGTGTTGTGATGATATAACCCAACTTCCCCATTCCCGATAATGGACGGACTGGTTGCCGATTAAGTACGACCACAGCGGACAGTCGTCAAGTCTTCGTTTGTTAACACCTATTGAGGTTAGCATACTCCCGACTCTGTCTCTGTATTTGACATACCTACATCCGATTATAAACCTATTATTGAAAACCAACACTCGGGTTACTTTGTTTGTTATATCTTGCACGAGATATAACATTTTGTCTTCTTAGTTCCTGTTCTTTTATTGTTTTCTCTCCTTAATAATGTTTTTCTTTTTCTCATACTCTTTTACATTTAGTAATCTCTTACATCTTAATGGTTTTATTGTCTTGCTTGGGGTGAAATGATTAAAAAAAATCATATGTAATTTTGTAACAGCTACTAGTGTGAATTTTACAAGAGTAGCCAGTTGAAATGGGAATTGAATTGTTAACTAGATGTCAAAAGACTAGAGTAATTTTGATTTAGCTAGTACTAGCAGCATGGCCCGGCATTGCCCATGCTTGATTCAAAAATCGTACGACTCATACAGCAATCGCTATCACTTTACTTAAAATATTTTTGCCCTTCCTTGCCTTTAAAGGAGTGCCCTTTGCTACATGCCTTACTTCTTGCCTATCTCACATTGCAAATTTTTTCTAAGCTCTATACTAAACATTAAATCTGTTACAAAAAAAGAACTAAATAAAATGAACACAAAACGTTCAGCTTTAAAAAAGGACTCGTAACTGGAAAAACTGAATGAGAAAAGAATGTTAGTAACAAATACTTTTTCACACCCAACCTAGTTCTGTGAAATCAGAATCAACGTTGAGTTTAAGCAAGCGAATGAGCCAATTGGAGTAAAGTGCCATGCAGATTTAAACTTTTTCCACTTGTGACGAATGCAGCTATCGATTTATTTTGCATGCTAGTTAACATTCATGTCAGTCAGCTGTTGGCTCTCATGCTGGCCAGCAGAATCTTCCTGCCTATTCATGGCAGCCAGCTATAGGCTCTCACTCTGGCTAGTAGAAAATGGCCACAAACTACATGAAAACTGCCGTAGAAGCATGAAAAAATCGATTATTTCTACTATTGACGGGAGTTGGGAAATGCAAAGTCGGTCTTGGCCTTCCGGCTAACTTGGAGCATGTGCATGTAAATTTTGGTGCAAATCTGTCGAAAATTGTTGCCATGCATTCGTTACACACACACACACACACACACACACACACACACACACACACACACACACACACACACATCCTGCTTTTATAGATAGATACCATAGGTAACCTATAGTCTGTTTTTACTACTTAAAGTGGGATTCATCATTTTGATCTAAAAAGCTGAAAGTGAAGTTTGAAGTTGATGTTTCATAAGGTAAGTTTTTGACAAGAAAAGCCACAGTACTTTGAATGTCATCTGAAACAAGAAATTCATAAAAGAAAACAGAATTATCTTGGAGAAGCTGGTTAAATGGTCTGTTGGAGAAATGAAATGACCATGAGACAAAATCCAGATAGGACTGGATAGATAAAAGCTGAACAAAGATGATGGATTGTTGTTTGTCAATCATTAATTTATCCCATCTGCAAGATGAGCAGATAATTCTGGAGAAAATAGAAATTGGTGGAGATTTGAAGATGTATGAACTGATAGAAAATTGAATGCTGGTCAAATTATGATTTGACCCGATAATGTTAATTATTTCTCTAAGAGCTGCTACTTTGTGGAACAGACACCTGCATCGGTGCTTCCCTAAAATCTACAGTCTTAACCTCTTCAAGTTAAAGGTCAATCATTATCTATTCTACTTATTCTCATAATATTCACTTCTTATCACCTCCTCTTACATTCATATCACATATCTCATTTATTAACTTTTGATTGGCTTTTGAGTCTTGATATGAGTAAAATTTAATAAAATAAAAATGAAAACTATTCTATCTAATATTGGTGTGGCACCTTGTTGAAAATTTTACCCTGTGTTTTATTTATTCTTATATAATGGTATAATGGTACTCTGAGTATTTTCTAATCTTAATCAAATTATTAATTAATGAACCCATGGGAAGTAAGATAACAGCTGAATTAATATATTTGAGAGAAATGTAGGAATTTTTTAAAAAATTTTATTACAAACAACCATATTATCCTTATTTGAATTTGTAATTGGATTTTCAGTTAATACATTATTAATATTTATCTTCTGACTTTTTATTCCCACAGATATCTATGCAGAAGAGGCGGTCATAGCCCGGTTATCCTACAATGCTTCTGTACGTGCTGAGGAAGCCAGGTTACGAGCCCTTAGCAAACTTAGTCTCAAACAAGTGGCAAAGATTGCTTTTATATTCTGTATTCTGGTAAGTTTGCATTTTAACCTGTACAATAAGTCAAGCATGACCCCATGAAAAGCATTTTAGGAAAATAAAGAAGAAAAGTGTTTAAGAAACACATACATTTTGACTGGGCACATATTCCTTACAGGAATATGTGCCCAGTCAAAATTACAATTAACATTTTTACTCATACTGAGTAAAAATGTTAATTCTATATTGTATTATTAGGCAAATAAATATTTTTGAAATATTTTGTTACAGTTGTCAGTGAAAGTCTGTTTCTTAGGTAATTATTAAATCAGTTGAAAATATTTTTTCAGAAGAGAATAACAATGGAAAAAAATAATGTGTTCGTCTGGTATTCGCATGTCCACATGTCTGGATTACCTCTACCGACTAAGAATAACACTGGTGTTATATAGTTATCTCAATCCCAGACCCATGCTGACTATTGGCTAATACCTGTCTAGTATTATTCATATGCAAATAGTCAGTGCCACCTACTCTAAGTAGAAGGTCTTCTCTCAACAGCCCATTGTGGAAGAGGACGCAACTCTTGGTGCTCTCAGCACGACATACAACCAACTCAGTCTTTTGCTGGGCTGATCCGATTCTCTGTTACAAATAACTTGTGAGGAGGTTGATGATGATTGCAGCATTGCTATTGTTCAAATCACGTGACTAAAAATTTCCGCTGATTTTCTTTGGGGAAAGGGCTGTTTGTAATTGGTTGAATATTGCTCTGCTTCAATTAGAGACAATTTAATCATCAATTATATTTTTCAATATCTGTCTATATTTCTGAGATGAGGTATTATGTACACTATTTACATTGTTCGGACTATCATCATCTTTGTTGTCATATTTATCACAATGTTTTGGCCTTCTTCAGGTGGTTGGAATGTCAAACTGAACCTTTATTTTGCTCACTGGGGTTGACTGTTCTAGTTCCACGTGCCATGTCTAATGGATGTCAGTTATCAGTTATCTCCTGTTAATTTCCCTCTCCAAGTTCTCCACCGCCTTAACCAGGTATTGAACTCATACTCTTTGTGTCCTGTCACTGGACCTAACTAACGCCTTTATCCACTGTGCCATGTGTCCTTATATTTTTTTATTTATACACTATTTTCTTTATTTATGTGATTTATTTTTTACAATAAAACTTTTGCTCATTCATTATTATTTTCCTGTTTAATCACCATATTTACATTTTTAACACATTTCCTATCTGCAAATCTCATTGATTTGTTCAGATATATTTTTAAAATTTTCTATTAGCTAATAGCTAATGAAGAAACAGTAACCAGCGAGTAAATTCAAGCTCTCCCAACTAGTCGTTCCTTCCTGAGTTCTGTCTCCAAATCACACTAACTGCCCGTTCTAGCCGTCAACCGTGAAGCGTCCCTCAGAAGAACTCGCCGACTTGGAAAAAAAGTAGTTGTTTTTATAGTTGTTCATGTACCCATAATCCCTTACATCTTCCTGTGATCCCATAATTCATTGCGTCCATGTCCCATAATGCATTGGCGTCCATGTTAATGCATTGCATTGTTATTGGATAAAAATGCGATGCCAGTCCCCCCTCATTCTTTTATGTTATCTGGCGAGGATGGATTCGTGCGGTAAGTGCTTTTTTTTCTCTCCCTCATTTCAACTGCAGTAGCTTTACATACTAAGCAAACACGGGCTCTTTTTGGCGGGGACAAGGCAAGTCGCGACCAGTTGTGCTCGTCCCAGGTTCTGTCTCATGTCCGCCACCTCCCCCTGATCTCCGGATCACACAGATGACAGTGAGGGATCGGTCTTTTTGTTCCGGTGCTCCTCCGGGGGATTGGTTGAATTTCTTCATCAGAGGAGCTCTCATTAGACACCGATCTATTGGCAAACTACCGCTATCGGAGTGATTGGTTGTTGAATCCAACTCTATGTATATTGGCTGTTCACTATCCTCCGTGTCTTCTTCGGTCAGTTGTGGGATTCGAGCCCAAAGGGGCGGGCGGTCTCTAACATGATTTAGGCGTTCCAATTCTTTTTTCTTGCTGACTCACCACCTCGGTCACGTCCGGTTCCAAATTTGGTCGTGCATTTACCACGTGAGTCTTAAAGCAGACAATGTCCCTTCCTTGTATTCCCCTTGGTTAGATTCAGGCGGGGCGTCGCGTCGATGCCTCTCACCCGGACGTGGTATGTGCAGTACATCAGCCGGTGCCGTGGAAGGTGAAAGGTTGAGCTTCCAAGACTGAACAATTTTTTCCTGGCCGCTATGGTTTTGACGTGCTCTCGTTTCACAATGCCATTTCCAGACGCACGTAATGGCGCACCGAACCTCAAATGCAAACGCCCCAGCTGTTTAAAAATAATTGTCTGCAAGTGAACGTGGTGTCATTGTCAGTCAGTATTTGGGTCGGCGGGCCTCGTTCAGAAGACTGTCTTAGCTGAAATAATGACACCAGCAGAGTCTTTGCCGTCTCAGTGGCCGCCATACTGCAAAGCGGAGAGGGACCACAGTCAATGAGCGTAAAAAATGGCTACCATTGCAATGGGTTACGTCCATTGCTAACCTGCTCCAGTTTTTTCTCACACTCAAATTTCCTTTCTTCCAATGCACTGGTGCTGGATCGATCGATTGGCAGGCTTCACAGGTTCTAACGACAGATTTTACCAGTTCCTTAGACACCGTTGGATCTACAGTCCTAGCAAAGTACATTGTTCTTTTAACACCTGGGTGCCCACTCTGCTGGTGGATGTGGGTCACCTGACGTTTGCTCAACTGGCTCGTTGCAGTGACACAACTCACTTGCACGGTTCTCCTCCTTTCTTGTGCATCTCCAACCAGCGTTGCGGCACTCTGGTGAGGCTGTCAGCGCCGGTTCTGACAAAATTTCACCAACGTCACAGTCATAGTCAGTGCGTGCTCCTCCACCAAAGTTTCAGTGTCTCTAAGCGCCGCCTCATCAGCATTTCACCCGCTGCCTTCGTGTTCTTGTGGCGTCCTTCCTGTCAGGGTGTCAGACACCCACCGATGCACACATGCTGAATCGGTGACCACATGCATAACTGGTGCCTGCCACTGCAGGGCAAGATTCACGCCCTTGATCACCGCATCAAGCTCAGCAAGATAATGTGTTTTTCAACCAGCAAGCATCTTCCACGACTCTCCCATTCCTCTAAGTGCTACTACACGGAGCTTGCAACTGTCATTTCAAACTGTCATTTCATTGCCGTTCACACACCAGTCTCCGCCGACAGGAATATTGCACTCTGCCACTGTTTTCCAGCATACGTCCAAGAGGGGCATCCTTTATCTCGTCCCATCCTTTGGTTAGTGTGCTTGCATAACGCTTTTAATAAATGCAGTTGCCACCCTAAGCCAACCGCACACAGGAAATGACCCACAAGTTTCAAGACAAGGAAAATGGCCCGTGGTCACCTTTTGAGCAATTTCTGGAACTTGACCTCCCCGCTTCCATCGAAGGGAGTTGCTTTCTTCCAGACTTGCAGACCCAGGACCTTATCTCTTCTCCGGATCTTTACAGACTGCCCGTAATCTGCAAAGTGCTTCTTGTTTTGCAGAAACAGGCCTTCATTTATGAAGATATATGCCGACGTGGCACTCTTTGTCCTGATCCTGGGGCGTTATCATATTATCACTGACTTCATGACTTTGCCACATTGTAAAAGGCAAAAAACGCTTGCCCATTTGACCACTGTTTGAACGGCCATAGCGATTTGTCAATGTGAATCTGTAGGTACGCATTTCTCAAATCCAACAGCGATCGCCAGCTCCTTGTCGTCGCCATTCTCGTAATTTTGACACACACCTCTGCGTCAGCTGTTAAATCTACAAAGCCGTTCAACTCCCGATAGTCTCACCGGTCGGACCTTCTGTTTGTGTTCTTGTACGACCGCCATTAGGGGAATTGCTCTTTCTCAGGATATGGGTAGCCATTCTCCTGCCACCGTGCTAGTTCTTCATCGTATGCATCCCGGACGTGGCCAGGTACTGTGTACTCCTCCTGTTTATTGACCAACTGCTAGGTGAATGACCACTCGCCCACTTCCACAATGCAGTCACGTTTTGTGCTCGGGTTAAATCCTTCAGGCTTGTTGATAACAATCGGCAATGTGTTCAGGTTTCAAGCAGCTTAGCCTGTGTCAAGTAAAACCTCAGAGCACTTTGATTGCATCAATCCGAGAAGAAGATCGAATCCTAGCAACTGCCCCTTCCACGACCAGAACCTCAACAGTCACGGGCTGAATATCATTAACTTAATTTTACCGTATCCACGGCACTTCAGGGTCTTTCGGCAGTCAACACTCCCTCTCTTCCTGCTTCCAGCAGCGACACACAGTCTTGCTCACCAGAGTCTGTGAGCATCCCGAATCCACTAGAGCTGTGCACTCTCCATCTACAAAATCCACTCCATCTACAAATTTTATTTATCACTATTTTTTTTATTTATCTGATTTATTTGGTCAGCGACCAGAACACTTTTTCTTCATTAACAGGTATAATGTTTATTTTTTATTTACTAATATATTTCCTTTGCCTAACATGATTTGTTCAAAATCTAAACGATGCATTTAGAATTCATTATTGGTTATTTTTCCTATGAGTGACATATTTTTAAAATGAGTTGTCTATATGTCATTGGAATTTAATGGCAAGATAATATCGATCTTGTCCATGGCACAAAGTTCGCAGACCAATTCCACATTTTCTATCCATTCAAAATGCTGAATTCTGGAATCAAACGGACGTCAAAGACTTTGCCTTCCATTTTGAAGAATCAATATGCGAAATAGCTTTGAGGGGAATGAAGAAAAACAGTAACCAGCGAGTAAATTCAAGCTCTCCCAACTGGTATTTCAAATCGTTCCTTCCTGAGTTCTATTCTCCAAATCACACTAACTGCCCGTTCTAGCCGTCAACCGTGAACGTCCCTCGAAGAACTCGCCGACTTGGAAAAAAAGTAGTTGTTTTTATAGTTGTTCATGTACCCATAATCCCTTGCGTCTTCCTGTGATCCCATAATTCATTGCGTCCATGTCCCATAATGCATTGCGTCCATGTCCCATAATGCATTGCATTGTTATTGGATAAAAAATGCCAGTCCCCCTCATTCTTTTATGTTATCTGGCCGAGGATGGATTACGTCAGAGCGGTAAGTGCTTTTTTCTCTCCCTCATTTCAACCAGTAGCTTTTTATGCTAAGCAACACGGGCTCTTTTTTGGCGGGGACAAGGCAAGTCGCGACCAGTTGTGCTCTCAAATCCCAGGTTCTGTCTCATGTCCTTTACTACATAATATTAGAAATTGACTGAAGCATTTTGTCACAGGGTTGCCATGGTAATGAATTTTATTTTAAAGTTCTCATTTGCGTTATGAAAATGCTAATGGAAAGTAATAAAATATTAGCATTTAAATAAAAAAATGTTCCAACATCCAACTGGTTTTCACATATTCCATTCTTACATAAATTTACTTTCTGAAATTGAGAAAGGTTTTTGCTCTGACACAAATTTGTTTGCCGCAGTTTTTGCTACATTAGGTAGCAGTGAAACTCCAAACCTGACGAACTGTAAACAGTTATTTCATTATAGTTTAATCATTTATATGAATCATAATTTTAGTCATCATGTGTAGTCTTGTTCAAAATAATGTTTTTATTTTTTGTTCTAATATATTTTTGTTAGCAATTATGGTGTGACATAATTTTATGTAAGTGTCATTGTCTTAAGAAAACCATGTATACAGAGTGTGATGGATAAATTGTCATCTAAATTACACAAAAATAAAAATAACATGACATCTCACTTTTACAGATATATTTACGAAAATTACACAAAAATATCTTGAAATACTAAAGAGTAAATAAAATCACCATTGGCTTCAACCCCAGCTTCAAGACTACTTTGAATCTCCTGCAACTCTTCTGGATGGTCTCCTTGTTTAAGTTATGCTGTCATAATCCTTGATTTCAGTTCATCTTTGGTGTTACAAGGAGTTTTGTTGGTCTCTCACTCAACTGTGCCCCACACATCATAATCAGGTGGTTGCAGTCTGCGAAGTTAGGTGGTCAGATGTAAGGGGTGATGTGGTCACAAAAATTGTCTGACAGCCATGACTGGGTTTGCCTGCTTTTGTGGCATGGTGCAGAATCTTGTTGCCAGACATAGGGTCTTCCAGCAGCCACCCTCTTGACCCAGGGGAGCACTACCTCCTGAAAGCACTTGATATAGACCATGTTGAGTCGTAGGCCCTGTGGGAAGATGAATGGAGGCATAATGTTGCCATCACTAGTGATCACTCCAAACACTATGTTGTTGACTGAATATATCCTCTAACTTTTTTCGAATCCTCTACACTGATATCCAAACACACTTAAGCGTTTGTATTGGAGCTTCTGACACAAATGCCAAGCAGTACAGTATGCCATTTCCAAATTTCTGGCAGAGTGAATTGTGTCATGATGCTCTTTTTCTCACAGTGCCTAACTGACCCTACTATACTGTGTAGTTGACAAAAACAATGTGCATGCACAAAATTAAAAAATATAAAATGGCGAAAATTTACTCATCGCATCCTGTATATCTTATCTTTATATAAAGTCTTAAACTAATTTATTTTCCAGTGGTTCTTTGGGAACTTTTGCTACCAAAAGGCCCTTGATGACACAGAAGCTTCTATTGTGAATGTTTTGTCTTCTACGTCCAGTTTATTTACTCTTGTGGGTGCAGCTGTTTATCCCAGTAACAGTGCAGATAGATTTACTTTGTCCAAATTAGCTGCCGTAATGTTCAGGTATGGAAAAAATTGCTTATTATTGCATTACATAATTGTAAAATAGCAGAATAAAAATTTGCTCAAGTCAATTTTTTTTTTTTTTTTTTTGTATAAAGATTTTATTAAATATTAAATTTTTTAAGCAAAATTATGAGCACACTGGTCATGTCTTTTAAAGATTCTGTAATAATAGATAATTTTATTATTCTTACTAATTTAAAAATTAATAGTGATCACACTAGTATTAATAGCAATATTGTCTGTGAACTATTTTTAGAGACTGAATAAAAAAAGTATGTGAATCACAGAGAGAAATCTTTTATTGTAAAACATAATGTCTTTTAATTGTGAAAAGCAAAATGCATTTATTATTATTGCCTTATCTACAAGTACATTATTTCTTTTCACAGGTCAATAAATACAAAAAAAACAATTTAAAAACCTTAAAATGCAACATTTCTAGCATTAATTGTTTTTAAATTGTATTTCTGAAAGATTTGCAGTTGTGTAAAGATACAATCCCAGCTTTTGAAGATGCAAACATTCTCTTTCTTTTAGTTCCTATTCATAAAAATGGTTTTCTCTTCTACAATCATAGTCTTTTTAGTAATTTCACCCTAAGTAAGGCCTTAGTGCAGAAGGTTATTGAATGTTAGAGAATATGAGGAAAAAAACATTAAGGAAAGAGAACAATAAAAGAACAGGAATTAGGAAAACAGAAGATAACAATTTAGCAACCATTATACATTATATTACTAAATAATACAAGGAGACATTGTTCAGGAACTGTCAGTGAGATGTGTTGTTGGGTGGTTTGAAGATACCAGCAAAGCCCTCAAGCAATACAATTAGTACAGATTGTTGCTTAAGAATAAATTGATGGCGGAGAAGCAGTTAGTGGTAGTGTATAAAATAAAAAAAAAAATAATAAAAACCCCTATTGCTGAAGATTTTCAAAAAGAGATAAATGGATAGAAATACATAATGTAAAGGAGATAATTGCTGAATTCTTTAGCATCAAAATAAAACATTCCATCAAGAGATAGGCAATATTTTTAATGATAAAGTAAGATTTATGATATTTGATTATGTAACTGGCATCAAATTAATAACTTAAGTCTGTTTTGAATTTTTACATGAAGCAGTGAATATGTGCTATTTAAAAGTTTTAAATTTAAAAGTTTTACTTATTAGTACCAATAATGGTTATTGTACTCATTCCTTTCTAAAAAAAAAAACCAACTGTTTTTTATTTATTTGCTATTATATATATATATCGGTCATAATTCTTTGTACATAACATTCTGTTTGCACAAGTTAATATTTGCCAGCCTATAAGTTAAGTTTTATAAACTTATGGCTCACCATTATTCATCCTAATTCCTAAGATGTTAGTGATCTACTTTCTATCCATAATACTACATTAATCATAGCACGTAATATTGGGATACTTTTTAATTTTTCAAATGCACTTTGGATTGGCAAATACACTAAATTTACCCGAGAAAAGTTTGAAGTTGTCATTGCAAGGGAAGTAACTGTTGATTTTAGAAAAAAATGTGTGTACCAAATTCATCAGAAATTTTATTTTAATTAGGGAAGGATAACTTCACCTACGAATGGCTTTTTCATATGATGAGAACTATAATAGTGATCTTAAGAATAAGCAATTAATTAAAAATTAATCACAAACTCCAATTTCAAGATATTTCCTTTTTCTGTTCTGTCAGAATCACCTAAAATTAAAATGAATTTTAGACTATTTTCCAACCTTTAGAGATTATTCAGACAAATAGCTTTTTGTTTCTTTTTTTTATATAAGGAGCAAAAAACAAACAAAAAAAAACAGTAAATTGAGGAGGAAATTACTATCTGTTATCTTGTTGGTATTGTAGATTAGTTTTCAGTTGTTTGAATTTTTTAGTGGAAGTATCATCAGTCTTAATTTTCTTTTTACTAGTTTTTCTTTAATCTTATTTTTGTTGCTTTAAAATTTATAGTTAACCATCTGATGAGAATCCAAGTATAGTAGCTGTTCATTTTGCTTTAACCAAATAAATCATTGAAATACAAACCTAATTTTGAAGGTTTTATTTAATTTGATCAAAAAAGAATCTCTGCATTTTCTAATAAAATTGTACATAAAACTTTAATTTTAAAATTATGTCTTTCTTTAAAAAAAAAATTAAAATGAAATATACATGATCAAAATCCATATGAAATTATTTGGAAACTTGATTTAATACACAAAATATTTATAAGACGGGGTTGATATGGTACGTACATGGAGAAAATTAATTAATTTTTGGTATAAGCAAAGCATTAAAAGTAGTTGATAAAATCTACGATTGAGAGTTACTTCCCTTGATATAATTTGGTGAAACGTAGGTACTTGTTCCTATACAAAAGTTAAATTTCATTGACGTCTTTTGACTAAGTCTTAACTTCTTGGAACATACTATACCACACACTTCATTTTCCATACGTTAAGTTCATTAGGAACGATGTGTGATGAAAAGTTTCTTTTGAGATTATTAGACTTTGAGCAAACCTGTATATACAAATTATATAGCTGAGTGATTTATGCTAGAAAGATTGGATTATTTTTTAACAATTGTTCATATCTTCCTAAATTTAAAAAAGGTGGGAAATGTATAGGTTATTTACAGAAGGAATTACTTCTGGTGCTTTGAAATAATGTACACACTGCAAATTTTGACCATAATACTACCTTAGATGATGTTGAAATGTTAATGTAAATTTTGGTTTATATTTGTTTCATGTTTTTTGTTTTCAAGTATCTGTGGGATAACCTTGGTGAGCCTCACGGACAGCAAGTTTGAGAAGGGTATTCCTGCTGGTAGCCTGTGGGCCCTGGGTGGTTCCTTGCTCTATGCCGCATATCTGGTTGTGTTAAAAAGAAAGGCAGATCATGAAGACAAACTTGATCTGCCAATGTTTTTTGGTAAGTAAAGTGTATTATTGATCTCCTTGCATTTATTTTGATACATTCTGTGAGGGTGAAAATAATAATAACTTATAAATCGGTGACTTTCAATATTTTCCCCATCAGCTTTTTACCCGATACATTTAATACTATTATCAACTATTGGGTATTATTGGAGTTATTAAACTAAGAATTAATTGTTAACTTAGATTATTTACTGTATTGTAACTTCATTTAAAATATCACAAAAAAGTTGTTTTTTTTTTTGGCTTTTTTTTCCTTGGGATGTTTTTTTTATAAACCTTTACCTTTTTAAGTATAAGAAAAATTTGCTGCCATATCTGGGCTGAAGCTGCCCAATACTCTCTTTCCAGCCTTTCAAAAGTGTCTACATGGCCTTGTGGGTGATGAATTATTTTCCACCCTACAGCTTCTTTCCCACAGATGAGACATTGTAAGTCTCTCATACTCTATCACTATTACCATGGAAAATATTCTGATAAGCTACATTCCTTAGTTCCATCAGTTCAGACTTTTACAGCTAAGACCCACCATGCCATTCCAGGGGTGAACCATATTCATTCCCTTCCTATTCCATTGGTAAGAAAGCAGTCTCTTTTGGAGAGCTACTCCCCAGGAGCTGCTATTTTGTAGAACATTCTCCCAAGAAGATACTTCTCCAATCACAACAATCTTAACTTCACATGTATATGGTCAACTGTAATCTTTCCTACATAAGGAGTAGATAGGTTCACACTACTCCCCAGTCTTTTGAACAGGAGTTTATCCCTTATTTTAGAATTGGGTTTCCTTTTCCTTCTAAAGTTTTCTCATTTTCTTTCACTCTCAGCAGCCCCTTGTGTCTTAGTGGCATTATCACCTTGCTTGGGGGTGAATTGATTAAAAAAAAATAAAAAATAATCTGCACTTCTTACCTCCTCCTCTTACATGCATAAAATAACCCCCTTTCAGTAACCCTACACTTTGAGTGGCTCTTAGGCCTTGTATTGGGTGAAAAATAGTAATAAAAACAATCATTTTGATCCTTTTCTTGATGTGATTTTAATGATTGTTACCACTTAAAAATGGCCTTGAAATAAGAATCTTTGCCGAAATGTGTTATTTGTCAATAGTATTTAAGTAATTGTTAAAAATGTATTGCTGAAAGTTGAACAGCATAGTATAGAACTTTTAGCTGGAATATTTACATTGCTTTTTATTTAGAAAATATCTTTTAAATATCAAAATTAATAGCCTTTTCAAAATTTGAATATTTGATATGTAAGAAAGATTTGAAATAATTCCTTATTGTATTGCAGAAATCAATTTGAAAAGTTTAAATATTAGTCTTTGCACAAAAAAAGTGATTCCTATTTATTTTTTGCTATTTTTTTTCTAGTCCAAACTTATGGAGTATTACATTTAACAATCAGGATCTTTGAGTTTTAATTATGAGCTCAATGTATGAAATAATGAGAGATATTATTGCAACGAATACCAGAAATAGAATCGAGCATCACTTAGATATTTTAAGTTTTTAAACATGAAAGGCTTTACTGCAGGAGAAAATCTTATTTTTTTTATACTGAAGATATCTAATACATGTTAGTTCTGTAAAATTCTTTGCACAGCCTACTCTTTCCAACACCAATATTTATTAGATATCTTTGCTGTAATTAAAGTAGGAATTTTTTCCTGCAATAAAGCACTTTATATTAAAAAATACCTGATGCTTGATTCTATTTATTGCTTCTTGACCTTTTGGCTAGGATCAATGCATAGTATCTGTTCTCCTCTTTTTACAAGGGAGAAGATACCTGGTACTGGAGCGGGTGGGGATATCGTTCATATTGGTCATAGGGACTGGGCAATTTTAGGATTGGCCAAGAATATTTTAATAAATAATTATTATGTTAATATGAATAATTATTATAATTATTAAACTGCCTCTGATTAAATTCTTTGAATTTTGTTTTTACTTTCATTTTTCTTAAGATTTTTTTTTCTTAACATTTTCTTCTGACCATTTCAGGTTTTGTTGGTTTCTTCAACACATTGTTTCTTTGGCCAGGATTCTTTCTACTTCATTACAGTAAGCAGGAAATATTTGAATGGCCAACTGACCATCAATGGATGTTTATAGCCATTAATGGTATGATAGGAACAGTTTTGTCAGAAATGCTCTGGTTATGGTAAGTCCAATTATTTTTTTCTTGTATACTCAGTAACATTCCCATCATTGTAATGTAGCTTACGTGTGCTGTTTCTGTAAATATTTTCATGATAATTATTCTGATGAGCTGTCCCCCGTTAGTACATAGACTTTATAAATTTAAATACAGTACTAGATTGTGTGCATAAGAAATCAACTTACCTTTAAAAAAGCTGAGGCTGTTAGTTTCTTCTTTTACATTTCTTGCTTGTGAAACTCTATTCTAGCTTCTTGCTTTCCTGTCAAATTTGATCTTCAAAAATTTAAATGCAATCTCAATTGTCATCTTCCACCTCCTGTACTTTTATTGGCCTCTCTCTTTAATAATTTTTTTTTTCTCAGATTCTTTTATACTCAGTAACCCATTGTCTTAGTGGCTTTATCACCTTGCTTGGGATGAAATGAAAGAGAAATATAAATACTTTTGCTACATTTTCCTGTAACCTAATTACTTTTATGTAATATTTGCAGACTTTTCTATAAGGCTTTATTATAGTATTTTAGTATAATTTATTTTTTTGCTATATTATCTCATCTACTATATTCAAATATGAACATAAATTAATACAATGTAATTATCTAGACAGCATGTTATAATTTAAATATTTAGTTGAATTAAGATGTTATACTCTACCTACCTACTCACCAACCACAGTTAAGGTCATAAAGTTCACAACCTCAAACTTCAGTTGTGAAATTCATTAACTTTTTTATGGTTGTATTGTATGTGCTTCACTAGGGCTGCATATGTTTTTTTAATTGAGTTATCCTTCTCCTAGACTCATAGGCAGCATTTGGGACAAAAATGTGTTACTAATCCTTTTGAATTAAACTATTGATGTTTTAGTTGTGTGAAATTATAATTATGGTCAGATTTTGATTATTTACACTTTGTTCAGCTCAAGTTTTCATGCTAATCTTTGTTTTCATATCATCTATTTACTCATGATTTTGGAGCCTTGTTGATTCCTCTCTGACAAACAAATACCTACAAATCTTATTCTTGAATAATATTTTGTACATATTTGTTTGATTAAGCTAAGTTTATTACAAGGTTACATTTCTAGAGCATTTGTCATTTTGAGATATTGTCATTTAAAAAGTTACTTGAGTTCTTCTTTTATTTGAAGAAGCCTATGAAATGAACTGGCCAAAAACATTGCATTAGCAACAAAAGAACAAGATCAGTAAATTGTAGAAGTCTTAGATGGTTAAAGTCTTTACCTAGTGGCCTTTTGAAACTAACAACTGTATTATCATCATGAAAGTTTGTGTAGGGTCGTGCTGAATGGACATGCTTCTAGTTAATTACATTTTAATGCAAATATCCCCCAGGTCTCTATCCTTGGATTTACAGTGTGTCTGATCTTCTTGGTGTCACCAGTTCACTCCCGGTAAATCTCTGCATCCTAGTGGCATTATTGCCTTGCTTGGGGTGAAATGATTAAATAAAAAAAAGTAATGAGTAAATGTTGTTATAGACAAGCGTATGGTTGCAAGAAAGAAATACAACAACAGCAGAAATAGATTTACGTGGTTTATTTCAACAGGAACGTATGGGTTTGGGACAGCTACCTTGTGGTAAAGTTCATAAGCCGGCTTCGGATCTAGGTCGATCTCTCATAGTAGTTCATACATGTTGACGGTGGTTGGTGCTCTCCTGCTGACAGCTGCTGAATGCTCGGCCTGACCGTGACAGGTCTCCTTTGTGGCCACCTGTTGACTGCCTGTTGAACTTCCGTGTGACCCCTTTTATAGCGTTTTTTTATGGCTTAACAGGCTCGAGAAACGAAGCGAGTATAATTAGGAAGGAAGCATTTTTATTGGATGAAAAATAGAGCACTTTAAATATTATTTTATTTTTCGACCGGAACTCGTGTGTTGGGAAAATTTGTAAACGAAGATAATGGTCATTTTGTGACGGGGCTTTGTCCCGTTCACATCCGGCTCTCGCTCTTGAGTATTTGCCTGTAAATCAGCCGAGATGTCTTATTTTATTTTATAACAATGTTTTTCATTATTTACAGTCAGATTAATTTTTGTTTCTGTAATCACAAGGTTTTAGCCATTGTGCTCTCTGAACTTCTTCAGGTGTCTGTTAATCCAGGTAATTTTCAAGGAATTTTGAACGGAGCTCTTTATTCAATCTACAGAAGTAGATTGTTCTGCTTTCATAGTATTTTTTTAAAGTACTACTCAATTATTGGTAGTCCTGTTTCCACTGAGTCTGAGCTACTCTATGCAGGATTGAACTCACAGCTCCTATGCTATACAGGTAGTACAGGATCAGACTCAATGGAAGCAGGACTAGAGTAGTACTTTAAAAAATAAAGTTGAGATATCCCTAGACATGGACAGCAAAATAAGAACAATCTACCCCCAAGATTAAATAATGGATTCTATTCAAAATTCACTACGGTTAAAACATTGTGATAACAACAACAAAGATAAGGATGTTAATCTGAATATAATTAATATTAGTAATTCAGACTGATAGTATTTTTTCATTTTTAGTTGCATTTTCTGTATTGTTCAATTGTTTTGGCTTTTATATAATAATTAATACCAGGTTCTGTAAACTTGGATGTGCAGGTGGTGTAATGGATAATAGCTTAGAATTATTAATTGGAGTGCCAAGTTCCAATTCCCATTGGGTTTGTTATATTCACTTATGCACAAATACCCTTGAGAAAGGTATCAATCTACCTCTTCTCCCCTCAGATATTAGTAAGACTTGTATCTCTAAACTATTATTGTCTCCCCAAAAAGTTCTTACAATCCATAAATATTTTCTGGCTTTAAATAACTTGCAAAGAGTTAATAAGACATAGAAAACAAATCAATCAATAAAAGAAATAAAATGTGACATATAAATAAATGAATACACTTAATCCAAAATGAACTTTTAAAGCAAATAACATTTTTTTTTTTTTTTTTTTTTCAGGGGTTGCTTTCTGACTTCATCGCTTATTGGCACATTAGCCTTAAGCCTCACCATTCCACTGTCAATGCTTGCAGATGTGATAATTAAAGGAGTAAGTATTGCCTTTCAAATGACTGCCAACTATGTTAAATTTAATTCATCTTATGTAAAAAAATAATGTGCTTGAGAGAATCTGTCTTGTGAAAAATCCATTAAAATTGCTTCCCATTGTCTTCTATAGAGAAGAAATAGGAATGAGAAAGAATATTTGGCTTTATGATCTGGAATTGACTAGACTATTTTATTCTTAGGTGATGGTTGATATGCCTTTAAACCCAATAATCAAGCAATCAATCAACATTATTCTTAGGTATTCAGCTGCGTAACATTTTCACTGCTGCATTGTTAGAGCATTGTTGCCTAGCTTTGCTGGCCTATTTGGGAGAAAAAGAAGAAATTGCCATTTACTTGAAATAACTGAATATATAAACATTGAAGATGATTTCTCATGGTCACTGCCATTTTGGTTTCTGTGGTACAGCAGAGGAAGTGTTAACTAAGGAGATGGACCAATTCTTGAAACTTGAATAGACAATAAAACTGATCAATAGTGAATTCTGAATCAAAGTTGCTTCATAATTTATTAGGTTAGATCATCATTTTTAAAATTTAACTGGCAAATATTGATTTTTCTTTTTTTTTCTTTTTCTTCTTTTTCTTTTTCTTCTTTTTTCTTTTTCTTCTTTTTTCTTTTTCTTCTTTTTCTTCTTGTTTCTTTTTCTTCTTGTTTCTTTTTCTTCTTGTTTCTTTTTCTTCTTTTTTCTTTTTCTTCTTTTTTCTTTTTCTTCTTTTTTCTTTTTCTTCTTTTTTCTTCTTGTTTCTTTTTCTTCTTTTTTCTTTTTCTTCTTTTTCTTCTTGTTTCTTTTTCTTCTTTTTTCTTCTTTTTTCTTCTTGTTTCTTTTTCTTCTTTTTTCTTCTTGTTTCTTTTTCTTCTTTTTTCTTCGTTTCTTTTTCTTCTTTTTTCTTTGTTTCTTTTTCTTTTTTCTTCGTTTCTTTTTCTTCTTTTTTCGTTTCTTTTTCTTCTTTTTTCTTCGTTTCTTTTTCTTCTTCTTTTTTCTTCGTTTCTTTTTCTTCTTCTTTTTTCTTCGTTTCTTTTTCTTCTTCTTTTCTTCGTTTCTTTTTCTTCTTCTTTTTTCTTCGTTTCTTTTTCTTCTTCTTTTTTCTTCGTTTCTTTTTCTTCTTCTTTTTTCTTCGTTTCTTTTTTCTTTTTTCTTCTTCTTTTCTTTTTTCTTCGTTTCTTTTTCTTCTTCTTTTTTTCGTTTCTTTTTTTTTTCTTCTTTTTCTTTTTTTTTCTTTTTTTTTTCTTCTTCTTTTTTCTTCTTTTTTTCGTTTTTTCTTCTTCTTTTTTCTTCGTTTCTTTTTCTTCTTCTTTTTTTCTTCGTTTCTTTTTCTTCTTCGTTTCTTTTTCTTCTTCTTTTTTCTTCGTTTCTTTTTCTTCTTCTTTTTCTTCGTTTCTTTTTCTTCGTTTCTTTTTTCTTTTTCTTCTTTTTCTTTTAGCTTAAAAAGCTTATTAAAAAGCAAAGAAAAAATTTGACTAAACTTAACCTAATTTGACACAGTATCATGATAGAACAGCACTTAGTAAAGATTAAAATTTGTAAAAGGTATGAAAAAAAATTAACAACAATTTATCTATCTTTATCCTTTTTGCTGCTTTTAAATCTAATATATCTGTATTTTTATACAAACACAAAATGTTTGTCCATCAAACAATTTTCAAATATAAAAGATAAATCTGAGGCTTGCATTGAAATTAAGATAAAAGTAATACTAATCAAGATTTAATAATGATTAACAGTGTTTCATCTAAGAAATTAGAATAATATTAAAACCTAAGAAAATATTTGTGATTATTTGATCTACACACAAGAAGCTGATTGATTTTGTTAATAATTTTGGTATCTATTCTAATCATTATTAAAATAATATTTTCTGAGTTTAATATGAAAAAACATTAATACATTCACAAAATCAACCACACTTTCTTGTTTGCTAATCAAATATTGATTGTCAATTTTTAATATTTTCCAAAATTACTTCTATCCTTTGTACAATTTTTTAAAGCCAATTTTTTTTCTCCTTGTTTTCAGGTTCCATATACGTGGATGTTCTACGTTGGTTCCTTACCTGTATTTATGTCATTTTTTGCTGTAACGTTACTGGCTCATTATGAAAACTGGGACCCTGTGATGATAGGAATAAGAAAAATTTTACATTGTATATGTCGACAACGACAGCTTCTTCCAAGGTAAGATTGCCATCTTAATTTTCAACTTTGTCTTTTTATCACTTTATTTTGTTTCTGTTTTACTAGTTAAATATTTTTCTTCAATAAAGATGCAAGAAAAAAGTACATCAATTTATTTTTACACACCTCATGAAATTTTGATAAATTTAGGCAAAATGGTTTTCTTTCATATCTCACTGACATCTATCTGACCACTGAACACCAACAATATGATTTATAAAAAGCTTTTAAGAAATAAATTGGAGACAAATTTAAATTTCAGAGCTCTTTCTTAATTTTATTTACAAACTTTGACATCTTAATTCATTAATATAGCATGAAAGACTGGTGACATGTTGAAAATTGTTGCCAAATAAAAAAGGTGGACTAATTTGTCTTAAGTGGTCAGCTTTTTGATCAATCCTTATTAAAGAGGATCATTAATAAATTTAATAATATCAAGCAATAAAACAAGATTACTAATAAAAACAAAGTAAAATTGTTTAAAATATGTTATCTACCATCTCACAAAAAAATAAACAAAAAAAGAAAGATAGGGGTCAACATAAATTAAACTGGGTAACATGAAGGAATGAAAAAAGTCCTTTTGCTTGTATTTTAATTTCTTTAGTCTACAGTCATACATTTCTTTAAAAATTTAAGATTTACATAAAGAAATGTCTGCATGAGTACTCTTGTGATTTTTATTTTCTTAGCCACTTTTTTTAATCATCTACTTATAACAAATTAAGCATGAAAAATGATTTTTTTTCATTCTAAATGATTTTATTTTTAAATATTATCAAAATGATATCACTATCTTTAAGATTGCAGTTAATATTTTTCTAGTTTATTTTTAATATTAAATGAAACAAATATTTTTTATCTATTACAATTAACACATTCATTTTTTTGTGTATGAAAAACTTAAAACTTATTCAAACATTTTGAATGTTAACAAATTGTAAAATTTGACATCACCCTATACTTTATTTGGTATCTGTATATTGCTTAACTATGCAGTGAAATTAGTGAAATTGTATGTTTTTGGGGATTTTTTTAAAATGAAATATCTGGTCAAACACTGATCTCTTTTGTGCACAGGTAGAAATTTTAACATCAATAGGATTTTTCTGAACACTACACTATTAATATAAAGAACTTCATATCAAATGATTTTTAAAAAAGATTAACTTTAAAAAACCTACTCGTAGGTAATCAATATTTAAAAAAAATGGTTTAGTTAATATTATTAATGATTAAAATTGTTTAAAGTGAATGAATCATTTAAGTCTTAAAGAAGACAATCCTTCAGACCCTATAGACTGATGGTAAAAAATTAGACCTTTACCAGATAACAAAAAATGCATCACTTGAAGATTTCCAAATGCATGTAACTGGAAGGAAAAATAATGATATAATCAAGATGCAAACTTTCCACTTATCTTTTAAAAAGCTTAGACGGAAACTCCCATCTGTACTAGAAAGAATAATAGAGAAGTTTTATTTACCAAAAAACTTTTTTCAGAGAAAGATTTGATAAATTTCAACCAACAATAATAGTAATTGTTTGGTCAATGAATACTGAATGTTTCTTATATAAAAAATGGCTATTCCACCATTACCATTATCATTTGATATTTATTCATATCATCATCCACAGAATATTATGTTTGGAAATGACACATGTTGTTTATATTCCAACCATAACAGTGACCATTCCCTGATCTCTTCAAAAGTATAGTTAAAACTTAAGAATCTCCTTCATTCAAAGAAGAAATACCAGTTGAGAATTAACACTAGTAAGACCATGTATCTAGATAAAAAAAACAGAAGTTCTTAGAGAAGCTTGTGGGGACCCTTCTCAGTGACTCATCACAGTGCATCGAAGACAGATAGAACTCCATTCAGAACACCATCTACAATGCTGCAGTCTTGACCTATGGAAAGTAGGTACACAAGAACTAAGACTGGTTTGAGGCTAACATCTCCACACTAGAGCCATCCATCAACACTGATTAGATTCAAGTGTGATCTTAGCCAGCAATATCTACAGGCTCTGAAAACTGCTCACAGCAAATGCCAGCAAACTGCATGTTGCTGTGCAAATGACTACTGGCTCCAACTGTCGGATCACATTTAACAGGCTTTGAACAACGGCAACCCCTGGAACATGTACAAAGCAAAACAAGCAACTGGCAAGCCAACAAAAGAAATCTGTGCCCCTTAAATTAAAAATAGGGAAATTAATTACAGAAAAAGACAAACAAATGGGATGATGGGTATAATACTATCTAGAACTTTAATCAAGAGGAAATTCTGTAAATATAGAAGTGCTTGATATTGAGGATTTGCCAGTCCTGAAAGAGTTGGATTCTGAACCTACAAAAGAAGAGCTTAGTAAAGCCATTTATGCACTTGTGTTTTGAAAAGCACGAGGTGAAGATTACCACCAGAGATCATCAGATGTAGTAAGCCAGCTTTAGTGAAATCACTCCATAGTTTCCTGAGCTTCTGCTGGAGAGAAGGAAAGATTCCTCAGGACATGTGAATTGCCAAAATAATTCCCCTGTATAGAAACAAGGGCAACTGTAGTGACTGTAAGAACTATTGCGGTATCTCCCTGTTATGCATTGTTGGAAAAGTCTTTGCCCAAGTGGTTTTAACTCTGCTCCACGTCTTTGTTAATTGTATCTACCCAGAACCTCAATGTGGATTTAGGGCTAAGAGATCCACAGTTGAAATGATCTCTCTATGTCTGCTCCAGGAGAAATATCATGAGCAATGATCCCAATATACATTGCCTTCCTTTTTCTCTCAAAGGCATTCAACCTTGTTAGTAGGTATGGTCTATTTCAGCTATTAAAGTTGGCTGTATCCTACAGTAAAGCCACAGATCACTTCACATATCTAGGTTCTACCATCACCAACAACCTATTGCTTGATATGGAAATTGATGAGCACATTACCAAAGCAGCAGCAGTGATGGCCAAATTGAGCAAAATTGTATAGAATAACAGTCAGTTAGTACTCTACTTTTCAGCAATGGAACCTGGACAACATACATCAGGCAGGAAAACCAGTTGAAAAGCTTCCATCTCTACTCCCTATGACATATCCTTGGCATCACATGAAGAAACATAGTTACCAATACTACTGTGCTGGAGCAAGCAGATTCCAAGAGCATATCTCATCCTCTGTCAACATCATCTTTGATGGCTGAGTACCTCAAATGAATAACAGCTGTATACCAAAAGACATCATGTACATTGAGCTGACCACAGAACACTGTCTGGTAGGTTATCCTGCACTGTGTTTCAAGTACATTTGCAAGAGAGATCTGAAACTTAGTCATCCACTCTCATCGCTGGGAACAGCTAGCAGATGATCACAGAAGCTGGTGCCATGCTGTTCAAGGAGTCCTGAAGGGTAGAAAAAAGCAAGACCAATTGCTGGAAATTAGAAGACAATGCAGAAAGCAAAGAGAGCAATCTCAGATGCTTCATTCCACATTACAGCATTGTCTGCCACACCTGCAGAAGAGTGCTATGTAAAGATTGGACTGATAAGCCACTCCAGACATTGCTAAACAAAAAAAAGGACAACCAAACAAGGTGCTCCCATTATCTTGCAAGATAAATGGGGATGCCTACTCATAGTATTTCTTTATATCCTTTATTTTTTCATTTATATCAGTGATGTCTTTATATTAGTATGCATGTATTTACTCTTATTTTGGTAGTATCCATTTTCTGCACATTGAACTAGTTTCTTCATTGATTTTTTTTTTTTTAAGCAGAAAAAATACTAATGTAACAAATTTTTATTACCCAGATCTGTGAATTATTTTTATAGGGTGGTGAAAGCTAACAGAAATATTTTGAACAAGATAAAGGATTTGGGTCAAAACTTATTTAGGATTACTGAGTAACTTTGGAGAAAACTCTGGTTGAAATTGTAATCAAAAGGATATTAACATTTGTCCAAGTAACTCATGGAAATATATGCTCTTATAAACTTTTACTGATCTTGTTCTTAGGCTGAGGTGAATAAATACTAAAATATTTATCAAAATAAATAACAATCAGATATAGCCACAGTGAATTGTTAATAAAATAATCTATAGTGATAGTAATTTTATTATTTCTGTTAAACTATTTTCATTACATTTGTTTCCTTTTTTTTTCACATTTATTTTGAGATTTTGCTTCAGCTAGAATTGAATTTTGTATAAAAATGTTTCCCTAACTTCCTTTTTCAAACCAAATTCATTTT